TTTTCACTTTGAGGATACCCTGGGCCCTGTTTGGAGAGGCTTTGTGGCCCTGAAGAGAGTACAACACTGTCTTTTCAGTTGCTAGTGTTCTGCTCCCATGATGTAAAGACGAGGAGGTCTCGTTCCATTTATGGGTTTTTCCCAGAGTCCAGAGCAAGTGTCTGCTGCACTTGTGGGGCCCCACACTAGGCCCTGACACCCTCAGGGGAGGGCTTCAGGGGCACCACAGGCCACCCTCATCTGTAGCCATGGACCAAGCTGCTGCAGTGAGATGGCCAGGCTGTGAGGCAGTGGTCTCTAGGACCCAAGCATCCCTGGGTCTTTCTCGCCTGCAGGAAGAGCTGCCTCTCTTGCTCTCGGCAGAGTACTCTCCTGGCTCAGGCCCTCATCAGGCTGCTGCCACCCGAGGGCACCCTGCAGGGCCACTCGATTCAGTCTGCAGGCTCCTGGGAACACTGTTCCTGCTCCCACAGCCTCTGAGCACACCTGTGACCTCGACCTGCCCCAGGTGAGTTCCATGCCACTAAGGTGCCTGTGAACCTCCAGGGCCATTGCTCATCTCTGTGCTGTAGATGCACCTGCCACAGCCAGTGCCTGACACCTTTGAAGCCTCAGGGCAACAGCACGGTGCAGGTGTCCCAGCAGGGCAGCGCAGGTCCCGAGTGTGCAGGTTTATAAGAAAGCAGTCCCCTTCAAAAGAAAGGTGGTGGGGGGTTTACTCTTTTTTGTAGAGATAGGGTCTCATATTGCCCAGGCTGATCTTGTACTTCTGGCCTTAAGTAATCTGCCCCCTTGGTCTCCCAAAGTGCTGAGATTCCAGGCACACCCAGCCTGGAATTTAGTATTACAGAGAGTAATTCCATGCACTGTTTCATACAACTGAGATCGTTCTCATCCTTGCCTGAATCTTTAAGTAAGATATTAGCTCAAAAGATGCATGCCTCTCAGACAATATTGCGTGTTCCATGTGCTGTCTCAGACCAAAAGAGAAATAAAATCCAGAGCAAATAAAGATCTAACATAAAATACGAACTCCAAAAATCTTAGAAGAAAAAATATGTTTCGAATATTGAAGAGGACCTTCCCAATCAAACAGGAAGTTTAGAGGCCATAAAGGAAAAAGAGAGTGTTTGATGCATAAAAATGTGTAGCATCTATAGAGAAACCCACCGCAAAGTTTAAAGAAATGACTGGCTAGGGGAAATAGTTGCAACACGTAACAGACAAAGATGTGTAACCATAATATGTCAAGCTTTCATATAAATACATAGGAAATAAATGAGAAAACTACAAACACACTAATATGATTATGAAAAAGAGAAATACAAATTACCATAACCATTGGGAAAGATCTGAAATTACCAGTAATTAGAGAAATATGAATTAAAATGCGAAACACATATTTTTGCTTATCCAATTGGCATCAATTAAAAGGGTGAGTCTCCACTGTGAATGAGGGCGTAGGGAACGTGCCTTCTGGGTTAGCCTAAACTAGTGCAGCATTTACAAAAGGCAGATTCTCAGTAGCCATGAGGATTAAAAGTGATTATGCCCTGGGCCCACAGATGTCACTTTTAGGAGTCTTTCCTACAAGTATACTGACAAACGTGTGCCAACCATACGCTTGCACATGTACACGTGCGATCTTATGGTCATAAGAGAATAAAGAAAACAAGCAAGCTGCCTGAACAGCCACCAGCTGGAGAAGGCAAATTCCAGTATGTGTGCCCTCTGTAACAGACAGCCGCCAGACAGAGCGAGGCCAGTGCATGTGTGTTCTTGTTTAAAGAAGTCTGTGATGTATTAAGTGAAAAGAAACAAACAAGATATTTGCACATCGATTCCAATAACTGAAAAGAGGAAAGCCTTTATTTCATAGCAAACACAGACACATACAACGGGGGCCTGGGCTTTCCCATGGGACAGAGTGGGGCTTGGTGGGTTGGGAAGGGAGACTTTACACTGCACTGTTTCCTTCTATATGATTTAAATTTTCAAGTTTTCATTATTTTTGTAATGAAAATTCTTTTCAAATGAAACACAAATATGTAAAAAATGCCCAGAGACTTATGAAAACATAATTTGATTTGCTTTGCTGCAAATGCTTATCTGCATAGCTTTCCATATTCAAGAACAGATGACCTAGAAAGGCGTCCTCCAAGGGAAGAGTTGATCCATTGCAGGACTTTGTGTACCTCCCCTGTCACCATGATTTTCCTGTTTCCATGTCCATAAAGCAATGAAGTTCTCTTGAAAAGAAAACATTTGGCAATCCCAGGGTATGCTTTAACTTGAAAGGTAATTTGTGAATACTCTGCTATTGAACCACAAAATAAAAATAAGGGTTGGTAAACAAGGCATTATTTGGGGTTCAGTCGTTACACTGTGTTCACTGCCTTTGTCCTGAGCGGAATCTCTCTGCTTCCTTTCATGCTTGTCCCTGGGTGATCTCCTCAGGCTGGTGGCCAACCCCCTGCACAGACCCTCAGGGCTCCTGGAGGCGCAGTCAGGCACTCTGCAGCCAGTGCAGGCCTTGTCCTGTTGGCGGTGGCTGCTCTCACAGAGAGCACACCCATGAAGCTGGACAGAGCCCAGCGGGGCCACACATCCCAGCCCCTTCTCTCAGCCGGGGGTGCTGAGTCTAATCAATCCACCTTGTACCAGTGAAGCCACTTAGCTGCCTCCCGTGTCAGGAGGGACAAAGTAGGGGCTCCAGACAGCCTGGGAGATGTCACATGGTGTGTGGGGGTAGGGTCCTGAGAAACACAGGGTCAAGGCCAGGGTGTCCCAGACACAGGAAGGTTACGCACAGGGGCAGAGTCAAAGACTGTGTTCCTAGGTAAACAAGCGTGTCATACTTCCCGTGGCCTGTGAGCAGAAATACGGTCACATTTCCATTGGAACCCAATTGTAAAGGGCCCAAGCCCCTGCTTGAAGCTTTTTCAGTCTTCCCAGGAAGCCCCCAGCATGAAAATTGTTGATAAGCCCTGGGGAGCTCTTGGGTCAGGGGGTGGGGGTGTCATATAAGTGTGGCAGCTCTGCTGGACATTTCCTTCCCATAGGAAGTAGACACTCAAGCCCCGAGGCTGGGCCGGGCACCAGGTTCCTAGAGTCCCCACCACTCAGCCGACAGGTCACAGGGGACCCCAGGGCAATAGCAGCCCCTTGGCTGGGGCAGGGCCAACAGGCCTCACTGACTGCCAGCCTCGGGGAGCTGCTCGGGGCATGGCCTCTATGCCTCTGAGCATGGCTTTGTCCGTGTCCACAGGGAAGGGTGTTGTTCCCACTGACCTGGCCTCTCCCTGCCTTTGGGGGCAGGGGGCACTTGGCAGGTCCACTTGCTCGCTGTGCACAGCTCAGCCATCGGCCTCCCACACACTCCGCTTTCCATTCTTAAGGCACCAGCCCCTCTCCTATAGGCCCCAGGGCCCCGCTGCCCTCCACTCCCACCCTCAGTCCCTAAGGTGTTGGGATCTGAGTGTGGAAGCGGAGGGCAGTCTCAAAGGGTAGGACTTGGAGGAATCCAGAGAGCCCCTCGTCCACCCTCACCCTCAGTTCCCAGGGTGTGGACAGCAGACGCACGCAGCCGTAACTGCTAGGGAAGCACCACCTGGTCTTGGCCTGCATCACCCCACATAGGAGCAGATGCACTGACAGATACACCTCCCCACTGACCAGGGCCTGAGCCCTGCTGCAGCGCAAGTGTGCACATATGTGTGTGATGTGTATGTGTGTGCATGTGTGCTGTGAGCCCAGGGCAGTGCAGTTAATGGTGTTCTCTCCTCTTCCTCCAGCCTTGTGTCATGTCCCACATGATGCCACCCCTAGATTCCTGCACTGTCTTCCTCACAGCATCCCCGAGCCCCTTGCTCTGAGTTTACATCACTGCATGGACAGTTACTTCCTTCCAGCGTGGGGGACTAGGAATGAAGCAGGCAGCAGAGCCATGGGCTGGGAGAGGGGGCCAGAAAGTGGGTCCAGGTCCCCCATGAGCCCTTGACCTACTTCCTCTCCTGAAACAGGGGTCTAACTCACCTGCTTCCAGCTGCTGGCCCAACACGCTGTGACTGGAAGTCACTCTGTGCTGCTGGACTCACGTGTGAAGTGTGTGTCAATAGCATTTGGGGAATCTTTGGAGTGGTGGTGTCAGAAACCCAGGGGAGACCTGACCACTCCTGAAGTGCTGGAAACAACATTTCCTAACTCACCTGCATAGCCACAACCTTGGAGGGAAGGGGCCGATGTGATTTTTCCTTTTGAGTATGGGTCCCTTGGGGGATTGCTCTGAGAAACTCCACTCAACCATAAAGACGGGTTTAACTTTTTAGAGCACTAACATTGAAGAAATAGCTTCAGTTTGGGGAGACTTTCTCCATTCCCTGTGGTGGGGGATGGAGGGTGTCCTCTGGCAGGAAGAGGGTCTAGGTGATGGGAGCCCCGGGCTTTTCATGTTCTAGGAGAAGGTGGCACCCAGGGGCCTGCCCACAGACCTGACGGGGGCCAACACTCTGGCCTGGACTTATGTCCCCATGTGGGAAGCAGGGATTATTACAGCCAGCACTTCCAGAGGTCTGTGGGTGGATAGACGTACCTTCATAAGGGCCTCTCATTCTAGCATTGCAGAGACAAGGTTTGTGGGATGAAGATGCTGGGGAGCAGAGGTCTGTAGGGAAGAGTACCCTCTCAGGCCAACCTTTCTGCTAGATGTTCTGAGGACACCCTAGTCCTCCCGTGGCCCAGGCAGCGGGCTGGATCCAGTGGCAGGTGTGGCCAGAAGCACAGGCTTCCGGCTCCCTGGCTGCAGGTTTGCTTGGCCTCCCAATTGTACCTTCATGTCTCTTTCCCTAAAGTGGGACAGTTGTGCTGTCTTCTGTGGCCTCTGAGGACCAGATGTGTGCAAGAGGCCTTCAGGGCCTGCTGGCTGGCACAGTGGCGATATCTGGAGAACGGGGCGGGGCCAGAGGGGCCAGGTGGCTAACCATTCTTGTCTTTCACGGCAGCGGAGCTGGAGTTCGCCCAGATCATCATCATTGTCGTCGTGGTCACGGTGATGGTGGTGGTCATCGTCTGCCTGCTGAACCACTACAAAGTCTCCACGCGGTCCTTCATCAACCGCCCGAGCCAGAGCCGGAGACGGGAGGACAGGCTGCCACAGGTGAGTACCCTGGCCACCCTGGCTCCAGAGTCAGGCAGCGGCAAGAGACTCAGGAGCCCATCAGGGTTCAGAGGCTGGAAGCACCTTCAGTTGACATTTAAAAAACAGGGTGAAGCATACCTCTAAGTGTTCCGCCTAGTGAGTCCCCACAAACTGAACACATCGGTGTGACCAGCACCCAGTCAAGAAACAGGCATGGCAGTCCTCCCAGAAGCCCGCCTGGCCCCTGCCAGGCCTCCCCTGCCCAGTGTGTGGCTTTGCCAGCCTTGGAGCCGTGCATCGTTGGGGCCGGCCATGGTGCTCCCTCCTGCCTGGCTCCTCTGGCTTGGCAGTGCACTTGTGAGATACATCGTGTTGTAAAGTCCTGTCCTGAGCTGGGTCCTGAGGGTTCTTCTGGGACAAATCACACACTCATTGTCACTAAACATGCCAGCAGTGCCTGGGTGCCATGAGCTGGAGAACACCCGGAGCTTGAGGCCATGGGAGCCTCCTAGGGGATCAGCGGTGGGGTTGTAGAGGGGTACACACTCAGCTTGGGTTAATTTTAAGTTTCCAGTTATTTCTTGCCCCAAACCAGCTTCCTCCTCTGGAAAGTAAAACACAGATAATCAGCCAAACTGCTCTATGATCAAACTTGGGAGACCAGGGGCTGCTAGAGCATCCTGTCCTAAGCCTGTTTTGCAGGCTGTGATTTTGATGGCTTTGCTTCCAGCCAGAGGGTTAGGAGCAGTGAATTCAGCGAGCTTATTGATCCTTGGCTTCAGTGGTAGGCAGCATGGCCGAATCCTGCAGTTTGCTGAGCACAGGAGAGGCATCCCTTTTCAGGACCAGGGCTGTGCAGTTCCTGCTCCTGCCCTGACTTAGGGAGGCTGTCCAGGGTGCAGGGTGTAGCCATCCAGGTGGGTTTCCTAGAGTGGTTTCCCTTAAACCGCTGGGACCCCTCTCAGGAAGGCAGGCTCACACTTCACTGGGCCCATTGGTGCAGCCATCCATATGGGCAGAGTGGAGGTGTGCTCTCTGCTTTGCAGCTCCTGCAGGTAGTGGGGAGAGGGAAGGGGTTGGTGCCACCAAGTGCTACGTTCAGACTGTGGCGATGGCTGGACACGGCAGCCTCAAGGAGGAGATGGGATGCCAGGGAAGGTGTGCACCCCGACAGCCCTTTCCTCCGCTCGCCACTGCATCCTCTCTTGCGCCTTCTGCCCTCTCTTCGGGTGCTCAGTCTAGTCTACAAGCCCCTCTGGCCCTGCTGTTTACCTTCCTCAAGCCTCAGCAGCTGCGCCGTCGAGATGCACTGAATGCTTTGGCATCCTGATGCCTGTAAATTGTTGGACAGAGGGTGGACTAATTCTTCTGAAGTTCCAAACACACAGTGTATGCGATTCCTCTGTTTCAAGAGAGGACAGGGAGAAAATCTCAGCACAACAGCAGTTTCAGAACCACAGAAGGCTAAGACGTGGCTGCTTTGTCTTAATGTATTACAGGCTGTGAACACCACCCCTGGCCTTGGTGGAAACAGGCACAGCCTTCCCTGGCCTTCTCTCCAGGAGCTCCGGAACGCTTGGGGTCTCTGTGTGTGGGCACACAGGGAGCTTTTCTATCCCCTGCCTGGGTCTTCCCTGATCTTCCAGACTTGCCCCGGTGTTGGCTTCTCTCTCCCTAGCACGAGTCACGCAGCTCCTTCCTCTGCCCCAGGCGCATGCCCAGCCCCCTTGCAGTCCCTGTTGGTAGCACCTTGTGTCCTGAACCTGTACGCCAGCCACACCTTTTCCGACCAAAAGGCACAGCAGAAAAGCAAAACGTGTCAAAGAAGTGTCTTCTCTGTCGTTGTGGCGGGCTTGTGTGACGTCCTCTCCTGGGAAGCGCCACTGGCCACCAGCAGAGCCTCCCTTCCCTGAAATCAGGAAGGTGATGAAGCGACATTCAGAGGTCCCTTCAGGTCTGCACACTGTGTGGCAGGTGAAGACATTTGGTAGCCAGTGAATTGTATCCACAGAGGTCCACATCCCTGTCTGGGCCTGGTTCTGTTAATGTGCATGTACAGTCTTGCCCCTGAGAGCTCTGCTCGGGAGCTGCGCTGGCGCTTGCAGAGATGCCGGCTGCACACAGCATGGTTTGAGGTCCTGAGCTGCTACGATATTTCTGCTTTTTTTCCTGAGTAACCTGGAATTGAAAGCTGTCCCTCCTCGAGGTGGGGCTGTCCCTCCTGTGGCTTCTACACAGCTTAGCAAAGGGCTCTGTGTGATGTCTCATAAAACGCAAGATGCATTCCAGCTCAATGACCAGAGGCAGCCCAGCCCAGGCCCTTGCTCCACTTCCCAAACTGGTCTCTTAGCCTAGTTCATGGTTCCCCATAAGGGAAAAGAGTGGCAGCTGATGAGGTTCTCCATTCTCTCCTGGACACAGACTCAGGCCTCGCTAACACTGTAGGTGTGGCCGTGCTCTCCATTTCCCCCTCTCTGCCGTGAGGGTCCCCTCACCTAGGTCCTCTCACCCCAGGAATGCCCCCACGCAGACAGGCTTCCTGCCTTCTAGTTCCCTACTTCCCCCTAGCTGCTTTTAAGAAATGCCTATTCCCTGATCGCTCCCCTGCGCAGTATTGGGGGAGCGATCTGATTCTTCTACACTCAGGTCAGGAGTCTCAATCAGGGATGATTCTGCCAAATGTCTAGAGGACATTTGCAGTGTCTGGCATCATAAGCGGGGGGAGGAGGGTCCTACAATGTGTCCTACAGTGCGCGGGAGGCCCCGAAACAAAGAATCATCTGAGGGATGTAAGCAGCGCTGAGGCGGAGGAGCGGGTCCCACCAGGTGCTGAGCACTGCCTGGCACGGGGGTGCTTCACTGATAGAAGAGGCCACCTGTTGCCATGAGGGAGTCTCCCTAGGCCGGCTCTGAGGCATCCACAGCATCTACTTCCCAGCAGTACAAGTTTGGGGTTCAGTCTGGGACTCTGCCTTGAGAACAGTTTCCCCTGGTGACTCCTGCCTCCTCTGCTTATGCAGTTAATTCAGGGGATGCCCCCCAGGAGCTGGGCACCGAGCAGGAGCAGGAAACAGTGGCCATGCCCCATCCCTGCCACCAGCAGCACCTGCAGTTCCCTGGCGGAGGCCAAGGCCCTGCTGCCATTCTCTCCATCTTCCTGGGGGAGGGTGGGGGCCTGGCTGGCTGATTGTGACTTTGGGATGGAAGAGTGTCAGGCTTGGGAGCTGTGGGAGGTGTTTGGGGCAGGCATGAGGACCTGCGTCTCCTCTGTTTCCATGCCCAGCCTGGCCTGACCCATGTGCAGTTGGTGAGGGCACTTCCAAGTTGCCTGCTTCCCCATCCCTAGGTGACTGCCTGTGTCAGGTAGCCCCCTCCCAAGGGGCTTGGAAGGGGCTGGGCAGAAACGGCTGGCTGGTTGGCATGGCAGGGAGGGCCTTGTGCCTCTTGGCAGAGCCTGGTAGTCCTCCGCCTCCGGGATCCCTGTGCTGCTGTGCGGGCCTGTGCTCCTGGGTGAGGCCACTGGGGAGGAGGTGTGTGTGTGGGCAGGTGCTGCCACCCTCATGGCTTCGTTCCATTATCAGAGCCCCTGCAAGCTGCTAAGCACCCCTTCCTTCTCAGCACCGATGTCCCAGGCCTTCCTCCCTCAGCACCCGAGGCCCTGGGAGCCCAGCACCCTCTAGTAGGCAGCTGAGGGTGTGTGTCCCTCCCATCCCCTCTGTGGGGACAGCCTTCTTCGGAGCCTGTGTGTTGCTGGGGCGCCTCCTATGGGGGCCCATTAGTAGAGACCCACCCGAGGGCTGCGTGAGCGCGTTCAAAAATGCTGTTTTTTTGAAACCTGATGCCAGAAGGGCTGGGCATCAAATTAACCAACTTTTAGGTGATTTGGCTTCACACTCTGGTTAAACTAATTGTTCCATCTTTCTGCTGGAAGCCTGGAGAGTGGAGGTGGAAACATAGCGTGAGGCAGTAGGATGGGACTGGGTTTTGGTTTTGAGGAGGATGAGCAGGCGGGCAGCCTTACTTGGTTGTGGAAGTTTCCCACCCTGCTGTGAGCGGCCCTTTGCCTCCTCCACAGGTTGTCCCTTTGACCACAAGGAAGGGCCAGACCAAGGTTAACCAGATAGCGTCGCAGTGGCCCTGGCTTCCCTGCTTCTTTCGGAGAGTCCCCTTCTGAGAAGTGGTGACTGCCCCGCTGCCGTCTGTGGCCCCTTTCCTGAGGGAGTGACCGGCTCAGCCAGTTCTGGTCCCAGTCCCATGGGGTGTGCTCCTGTGCAGGTGAGGAGCAGCAGCCCTACTCGCCTCGGCCAGCACCCCCTCCCACCTCCAGGGCCCTCCTCCTCTCCGCCAGCATCCTCCTGATGCTAGCACCTTCCTCCCGGGTCCCTTGGCCTGGGACAATGCATGCCGCATGAACGTGATGGGCGTCCTGAAGCCAGTTAGCCTTTGTCGCCGCACAGTAGACACTGTGTGTCTCAGGGGAGCCCAGGGACATTGCTGGGCCTGACTGTGGTGAAAGTAGCCATTTCTGGATAAAAATGAAAACTAGCAACCCAAATGTAAATTACGTCACAGGCAAAGCAAATGCTTATATCATGGCAGATAGCAGTGGTGGGTTTGAATCTGAATCCTTGTGTGTTTGAATTTGAATCTCTGGAGCCTGGTTTGAGTGACTTCTGAGCTTTGAGACTGTCTATATTTCTTTTCATTTTCTTAGACCGCTTAGTTATGGGAAAACAGTAAAGGGGCATGAATATTCCAGACACAGACAGAGACCTGTTTGAACAAGTTGCTGGCACATTTCTTGCTAGAGCTGAGAGAGCCTAGGTGACCTTTTATGACTGCCTGCAGCCTGGCCCAGAGGGTCCAGCCCAGCCTGTGGGGACAGCCCAGGGCAGCAGATGGCATGCAAGCAGAAGGGGTGGCCATCAGTGGATGGAAGGAGAGGCAGGAGAGGGACGGGGACCTTTACCCAGATTGAAGAGCACGAAATTGTGGACATTCAGCCATTTTTGACCTAT